AGGCGATTGGGCCGGATCCAGCCCATGCTTCAGTGGCAGGCCAGACGATGGACAGAGTAAGAGAAATTATGATGTGATGGTAGGAGCTACGGGCACACAAGTGTGACATGCTCCCCAGCTGCGAGGTTCCAACCAAAGAAGAATGGCAACTTAAGAATATGCACAACTCACAGACTTAACATATAGAAGAAGAGAACAAGAAGAATATATGTTTAAAGAAGATTGGAAAATGTTTACTGAATATATGGGAAATAATTGTGTACAGCTGACAACACTGGCAGCATTAAGATAGATTCAACAGTGTAAAAAAGTTTTGATGGGTGCAATAATGGAATACTGAATGGTATAGTTTTTGTAAAATACTCAGTGTTTTACAATATGTAAAATGGATCAATGAAAGAGAAGAAGGGAAGTCATTGATATATTAAGGATGTAAAATGTTCATTGTGTGTGTACACACACACACACACACACACACACACACACACACACACAATGAACTAAAAAAAATGTTTAGATATACCTTCCCTAAAAGGCCAGAGGCATTTCTTTTAGGAATTGTTGGGGATGAGATACCAAAAGAAGACGAAAAACTATTTCTGTATGTGACAATGGTGGCCAGAGTTTTGATAGCTCACAGATGGAAACATCAAGATCTGCTGACTATCGAGGAATGGCAAACAAAGATGGTAGAGTACACAGAATTATCCAGGCTGATGGGACGAATCCATGAGCAGGATGACCAGACGTTCCAAAAAGACTGTAAGAAATTTATAACTTACCTTGAGAAACACTGTTTACATATAAAGAACACTGGCAGGTCGGAGATAAACCTTACAACGTATGGAGCATTCTATATGAGATTATAGAAAGTACCATGTATAGATATGAACAGTATGCTGATACAAATCAATGTGTGAATATTATAGTGTGGAAACAAGAAAACCGGAAGAGGGGTAGAGGGAAGTGGTAATCCTGAGAGTTTTAGGTTACTAATATTGTAAGAATGTACTGTATAAATATATAATATGAAAATCAATAAAAACAATTGCAAAAAAGATGTAAAAGGAGTATTTTAAATTGTAAAACAGAAAACTTATTTATTTATACCCCACCCAACTGGCTTGGTTTCCCTGCTGGGATCAAGCAGGTGTGAGATATCACTCTTCAAAATGTCAGAATCTTATTCACAATCTCTTTCTAGAGTTCAAAAGAAACTTCTCATTCTGGGTAGAGAATATCGGTGAAATGTTTTCTCTCATTTCAGTCAGGGTGGCACATGGTAATAATATCATGTTGAAACTTCCTACCAGCCTATTAGGTAATGTTCCATTATCCTAGATGCTTTGACAATGTTCCCAGTGTGAAAGAAATTGCTTCCTGTGAAAAAATTGCACTCTTTTGGGTAATACCTTGCAGGTTATTTATGAGGGAAACCGTAGCCATTTAGGCAACTTGAAAATTCAGCTCTTTAGGTGTGCCCTTTTTTATATACTATAAGAATGCCATTTCCTATCATTTTTTTGTAACTGTGGGATGGCATTCACCTGGCAAACAAATACTTCAGGTTTGCATTTTAGGTTTTTTAATGTCTGTCCAAGAAAACTGGGTGAAGAGGAATGGCCAGATTCAACACACACACACACACACACACACACACACACACACACACACACACAGAGAGAGAGAGAGAGAACTGGTTTGCAGTATTTTAAAAATTTATTTTAATGAAAAACCACAATTATCCAAAAGTTACACTTCAGTTTTCTTGACTGCCATAACCACAGAACAATGACTCCGATCCTCAATTCATCATCACTGTCATGTTGACTCGCCAAACACTCTCAGTAGGAACCCAACTATGGATCTGGGTTTACTAGACATTTTGAATCAATATATTCCCTCCACAGACACCTCTGTGATGATGATGGCGTAAAATTATCCTGTTCTTCTTCAATAAAAAAGGAGACTAAATTGTGTCAAAGACTTCTTTTTGCCTCTGATTATTTGACGATGGCATGAGAGGCATTCTGAAAGAGCAATGTTCCAGATATTATTAACTCAAGCCTCTATTGGTATATTAGAGTTTTCCTTCCACCATTGGACAATAACTAGTCTAGCTGCTGTTAACAGGAAGGGAATTAATTCTTTTGATTTAAGGGTAGAATTTGTGGTCAAATCTAACGATAGTAAGGCAAGCACCTGATAGATAGTTTAGTGATTTTGGAGGTCAGATAAAAGTATTTTCCCTAAAAGGTGCGGACCAGGGTGCACTCCCACCAAACATGAAAATAGTAACCTCATTCTCCACAGCTTTTCCAACATAATGGTGAGCTTGAAGAATTTATTTTTGGTTTGCAGTATTAAATCAAATGAGTTCATCTATCTATTTGGCACAGCACTATTGGACCCACTGGGGACACGGGTGGCGCTGTGGGTTAAACCACAGAGCCTAGGATTTGCCGATCAGAAGGTCGGCAGTTCGAATCCCCGTGATGGGGTGAGCTCCCGTTGCTCGGTCCCTCCTCCTGCCCACCTAGCAGTTTGAAAGCACATTAAAGTGCAAGTAGTTAAATAGGTACCACTCCAGCGGGAAGGTACGGTAAATGGCATTTCTGTGTGCTGCTCTGGTTCACCAGAAGTGGCTTAGTCATGCTGGCCACATGACCCGGAAGCTGTACACTGGCTCCCTCAGCCAGTAAAGCAAGATGAGCGCCACAACCCCAGAGTCGGCCACGACTGGACCTAATGGTAAGGGGTCCCTTTACCTTTACCTATTGGACACACTATTGGACTGTTTATAGTGCCCTAGCTGTTGAATTCACAATTGAGAGGCCATCAGATTAGCAGTGGAAATCTGCAGCTTTCACAGCATCACAACCTGGCTTCTGGGTGGCCGGATTTCCTGCACAGATTACATGAAAAGGGAGGATGTGGCCACGGGCTTCTTGAACAGCCAGTCAAAAAACCATCTTTTGTAGGCTGCAGAGGAAAGGCATAAATGAGTAGATCTCCTTTCAAATCATGACTGAGTCAAGAGCCAAAACCAAACAATTTGCAGAAGGGAGACATTTTGCCACTTTCTATCCTGTTGGAGTGGGACACGAGTGGCGCTGTGGTCTAAACAACTGAGCCTGAAGTAGAGAACATTTCCTTGATAAGCTTGCCATGTCATGCTGCTACCACTATCTAAAGGTCATGATTCATGAGACTCCTAGAATATATGTGTGTGAAACATGTGTCTACCAAAAAGGATTGCCAACAGGGGAATAACAGCATGGATGGACTATTGTGCTCATGCCCTGTTTGTGGGCTTCTCACAGGCATCTGATTGGCCATGGGAAGGAACAGGATGTTGGGTTAGGTAGGCATTTACTTAGGATGTTGGGTTAGGTAGGCATCCAACCAAGATGCATCTAGACTCCTCATAAAGTACAGAAAGTAGGTCCACATGTTCAGACTGTTAATGGAGAAATCTGAGAGCTCCCTTGGACAAAAAACAAGGACACCGGCCAGGAATACCAGAGCAAAACAGCAGCCAGTAGGCTTGGTATTTATTGAAGACTGCCGCAACAGGACTCCCACCTGCCACAAGGTGGAACAAGATGGAAACCCCGAACAAAAGAGCACCCAAACTTTTATTAGCTGCTACACCCCCCCCCCAACTGCATCACTAATACATCATGGTTACATCATGAGAGGGGAGGTCTGGTGGCAGTAATCTGAGCATCCTGGACCCTGGCCCATGGTTCTCCTTGCCCTCCGCCAAACACCCATCAAGTGTAACAAAAGAGATATTTACATCTCCCTGTTTCCCAGCCAAGTTAATCACACCCTTTTGTCTTCATCTGGGTTTGTTATTTCTGGAATGGCTACCTGTCTGGCACTCAGGTATCAGGATGCCAGGAACTATCACTCAGGCAGAGGGGCTGCTGAGCTCACATGTCTATATGAATTTCTGAAGTTTTCCCAGTGAGCCAGTACACAGATACATTTATCAGTGAATTGTTACATTTGGTATTGTGCAGCAGAGGACCTTTGAATAGATAGGAAGAAACTGTGATGAAATGTTTTGTGGGGACAAGTCACAAAAGTGATCGTGCTGATTTTGGTAGTGGGCTGCATGTGCATGATATCTGCTGGAGGGGCACCCCCCCACCTGTACATAAATTCCTGCAACAAGGCAACTCCATCACTAGGGGGGGGGGGGAAACAAGTTAGAAGAAAGGAGATTCTAACTAAACATCAGGAAGAACTTTCTGACAGTAGTTTGACAATGGAACAGACGCCCTTGGGAAGTGGTGGACTCTCCTTCACTGGAGGTTTTGAAGCAGAGGTTAGATGGTAACTGTCAGTTGAGACCCCTGCATTGCAGGGGTTGGACTAGATGACATTGGGTTCTTTCCAAATCTACTATTCTATGATTCCATACAGTGGTACCTCGGGTTAAGTACTTAATTCGTTCCGGAGGTCTGTTCTTAACCTGAAACTGTTCTTAACCTGAAGCACCACTTTAGCTAATGGGGTCTCCTGCTGCCGCAGCGGCATTGCTATGTGATTTCTGTTCTCATCCTGAAGCAAAGTTCTTAACCTGAAGCACTATTTCTGGGTTAGCGGAGTCTGTAACCTGAAGCGTATGTAACCTGAAGCGTATGTAACCCTGTATGTACCACTGTATCCTCCACCAGCTGGAAGAAACAGAAAATCCTCTTTTCGTTTGTAAGCTCTGGGTTCACAAAGAGTTAAATCTTACGCCATGCAAAGTTTCCTGTACGCAGGAGATCGAAATCTTCACCAGAAAGACTGCTGGATCACTTTGCAAAGTCTCCGTGGCCTGTCTCTGGCACATCAGCACCACAGATAACCAGCTCCTTCTGCAAATTGTACTTTCCTCTTTAACTGAGAGTAGCATTCAAGCCTCTTTTTCAAAAAAAATGCAGGCTGTGTAGTTCCCTCCCAGGCTCAGCATGCACACTGTGTACATGCGCTCTCAGATCAGTCAGCAGCGAGAGCCAGGGGCAAGCAGTTCCTGCCCTCTCTTCTTCAGAAACAGCAGTACTTGCTCTGAACTGGGGATTTCCTAGGCTGAATGAACATCCGGAGATTCTCAGGAATCTGTGAAGTCTGGGAGGCTGGTCGGGTGCGTGGGAAGAGGGCGGATCTGGCTAGAAGGGGTGGAGGAGGAGGGAAAGAGCTGCTGGAGAGACGCCAGTCGAGAAGAAGCCACGAAGAAGAGCAAGAGAGCGAGAATCAGAAGGGCGTGTGAATAACAGGAAAGCAAGCAGGGAGAAAACATTCCCCCGCTGAAGGAGGAAGGAAGGACTGTTACCAGCCAGCCAGATCGCGCGTTTTGCTGGAAGCTTTGGGTCCCCCAGGTGGGACTGGAGAAAGAAAGGATCTGTAAGTTATGTCTGTAACTTTTATATCTGTAAGTTTTGATTGTCCTGTTTGTTTGTTTTTTAAAGAGTTTTGTGTTCCTATCTCCTCACTTTGTCCTCCTTTAAAAGTTCCAGGTTATGGAGGGGATCTGTGATGTTCCTGGGGACCTCTTCTCTGGTTTCTCAATCTCTCCTTACCCAGGTACTCCAGAGGGCCATCGGTAACCATGGGTGTAGCCAGGGGGGGGCACTTAACTGCGCCCCCCTCACATGAAGCCTGCCCCCCAGCATAAATCCACGCTATGCCTTGCATTTAGGTGGGGGCTTGCATCCTGAGTTGCCCTCTGTGAATACGGAATTGTGATATGAGAAGGAGCCTGGAAACTCATCCAGCCCTCTGTTGAGGCTTGGGGTCCCACCAGGACATCATTGCTGATAGGTGGCCATCCAGCCTCTGCTTTCAGCCTCTAATGCAGGAAGGTGTCTCTTTGAAGGGGCAGGAATAAATAAAATCCCTTTCACTGGACAGAGTCTGATCCAAAGGAGGCTGCCACTGTTGAGAGCATGGAGAAGTTTTTTTTTAGTACTGTTCTCAATACTTTTCATGGCCAGGTCAAGATATTTCTCTCCCCCACACTCACTCCTTTTCATTTTTAAAGTAGTATTCAAAACTGTAAAAGTTTTTAGTGGTTTCTAGCTAACCACAATGAGGCTCCAGGAATTGTTAGATCTCTGAGTGTGATGTAAAAGCAGTTTCTCTCCCACCACTTCCTCTGTGGGCTGATTCAGCTTCTGCTTCCATTCATTCTCGTCATTCTTCTGCCTTAACCTCCCAGCCCCCATATTTTAGTAACGTAAGTGTTGCTCTTAAGTATCAGTCGCCGAATGCATAATAACAGTAGAATTAATAACAGTGATCTTTAAAACAATTTTATGGAAGGTTTATAACATTTTGAGCATTAAAACCCAAATGCATTTATAAAAAGATAATAAAAAGGAGTGTATAAAAAAGAACAACAACAACAACAAAAATACCCATGATCCTTACAAAACACAATTAAATAAAAAAGAGGAAGAGAGAGAACAAATTAAAAATAACTAAAAGAATAGAAAAGACTAGGAAAAATGATTAAAAAGAAGAACTCCTGCCTCCCTATCTGAGAATTATCTGTTACAACAGTTATTCAAAGTATTTAACATATGTACTCCATAATAGTTTTGTCCCCTCTGTAGGCTGTAACTTTGCCCAAATTTCCCTCTAGAGTCCAGCCTTTAACGTTTAGTTACTCAGACAGTACAAAACGACTCTTCTAACATCCTTCTAGTAATCCAAATTGATATTTCCCCCGTTTCTATATAAAATCTCTTATAAAGTCCTTTTAACCAGTTACAATAATAGTAATGGTAATGCTGGAATTCAGCTGGAAAATCTACTATTTTGGATGATTGTTTGTTTACTCTTTGTTTGGGCACCTACTGAGATATTGCATTCTTATTTTGCATGATGGTTCCTGAGCTCAAGGGACAGGGTTTATCTATGTTTTAATACAGCTGGATGTCATTATGAATCAAGATGGCAGACTGAAACCTTCAAAACTTCACTGATTTTAACCACTGATTTCAAAACTTTGCTGATTTTAATCACTGATTTCAAAACTTTGCTGATTGTTTAGGTTTTTTTTTGGAATTCTCATGCAAAGCCATATCTGGAGCTTCTAATGTCACCCGTTCATGCTAGCTTTCGGTTGCCTCGCCTTATAAAATAGCAAAAGTGTCAATATGAAATGTTCAAATACTTCTGTAGTTCAGCTCAACCAGAGTGACTAATTCCCCTCTGTTTCCACTCTCCAACAGAACAGAAAACGGTGTGGAGTACTATGAGCAGCAGTGAGTGGGGCAGCAACATTTTCACCATGGACACTGAAAACACATATGAAATGTACGGAGAGCAACTTCGTGCAAAATGTTTCGAAGAAGAAATCTACAGATATGCATTTTCTGAATTGGGTTATTATACTAAACCCATTGCCATCCTTATCTGCATATTTGGGTTGCTGGGGAATGGATATGTTTTGTGGCTCCTTGATTCCCATATTAAGAGAAATCCTTTCACCACCTACATCCTGAATTTGACTGCAGCTGACTTTGGCCTGCTCATGTTTTTGTCTCTGTCCCTTATCTTTTTGTTCGCTGATGACCTCTGTGGATTACCACTCCCTGTTCGCATTTCTGCAATACCCCTGTTGCACTTATGCCAATTTTGCTATACTGCCAGTCTCTGTTTCCATACAATCATCAGTATAGAAAGATGCCTTTCTGTCTCTTTTCTGAGCTGCTACCAACATCGGCGACCACAATCCCTTTCGTCTGGGCTATCCGTGCTAGTCTGGATCCTGTGTGTCATGTTCTGCGGAATGGAAATTTCATTTTACCTGGTCTATAATATGGTATTATACCCAGTTGTCAAGAACATGTTCATTGTGGTCATATGGGTTTTGCCTCCAATTTTAGCTGTCTTCACTTTGCTCCTGCTGGCCAAAATGTGTTGCAACTCTCAGCGCCGACTGCCAGGAAGCCTGACTACTGCCATTCTTCTCTCCCTCCTGTTTTTCCTTCTCTGCCATGGCCCATGGAGCATCACATTTCTGCTATCCTCCCCTAAGCATTCACAAACTCTTATTGCACTTTCACAGCTCCTCTACTCTGTCAATGGCAGCATTAAACCAGTGCTTTATTACTTGGTGGGGAAACGGGGCAAATGTTCCTCTACAGAACCCCTGAAGGTCATTTTCAGGAGGGTCTTCCAGGATGAACACTATCCTCTGCAAGAGAACGTGTTGACTGATGCAGAGAAACTTAGTGCAGTAACTTGTTCAACCCAAGCCATCAACTGACGAAGCCAGCATTGTTCTTGAATGGAAATGCTTTGATCCTGGACTATGTAAGAATAATTGCTCATAGTGGACTATACCATGAAGCTCAATCTCCTTACCCAGGAATGAAGATGCAAGATGCAATCAATAGGCACAACAAAAAGCCACAGCTTCATTAACTCAAAGGAATGCTTTTCTCTTGCCATACTGATTTAACTGCTACTTCTCTCTAGCTTAGTATTGATAAAGTTGCTGCAGCATAGTCCATTGCCATCAGGAACCTCAGGGTACCTCCCTGTGTGGAGTAAAGTCAGCCATGTTGATGACTATCACTGCCTCTTGTGGGAGCATAGTCCCATGGTAAACTGCTCAGGACCGCAATACCTCAAGGATGACCTCTCTCTATGTGAACCTACCTGGAACCTGAGATCCTCATCTGAGGCCCTCCATCATGTGCTTCCTCCACAAAGAGGTCTCAAGTGTGGCAACATGAGAACAGGCCTTTTCCGCAGTGGTTCCCTATTTGTGGAATGCTCTCCCCAGGGAGGTTTGCCTGGCCCCATCCTTATACACATTTAGGCACCAGGCAAATACTTTCCTGTTTAACCAGGCCTTTGGCTGATTCACATCCAATACCCTCTTAAAATGTGTTGGAAGGGGTGTCTGTTATTGAGTTGCTTTGGTTTATATTCTATATTTTGTGCTTTTATATTGTGATTGTATCTTGTGAACCGCCCTGAGACCTGCGGGTATAGGGAAGTGTACAAATTTAATATATAATAATAATAGTTTAACTATGCACTGTGTGAATTGTTTTGTCTGTGTGAAGAAATACTTTCTTTTGCCCCAGATGCTGTAACCTTTCCTCAGAGGGAAGTCAGGAGTCAGGGAATTTGATCCCTCCCAGGGTGGTAGCCAATAAGCAGATAAAAAAAGAAGAGTTACTACCAAGTCTTTAATTCAAGATTCACAATAGAAGACATAGCAATGCCACCTCTTTTAGATAATGGCATTGCTCCGTGTAAAGTCCCACCCCCTCCGTCTCTCCTATCATACGTCATCCCTGCCCCGGCTGATCTGTGCTTTCTGGCTTTAATCCTTCTCTTCTACTACTCTCAATGCTCGCCAGGACCTGGGATAAGGGGAGGGGTCTGGCATGCTTTCCAAAGACACTGAGTCTGTCAGCTGTCTCTACTCTGGTGCTTTTTCTTCCTCTTGCTCCTCTCCCAATATTTCCCAGCTTCTGCCCTCTGCAGCCTCTGAATTATGACCTTCTGCAAACCACTGTTCTAAATCTATACTGTCTCCTTCTTCTCTTGGAAGTGCAGGAGGAGGGGGCAGGTCTCCACCATTCCTCCTCAGACCAGTCCCTGACAGTGTTTCATATGTAGTCCTTTTAGGCACTGCCATGGGTTCTTTGAAACCTTTGATTAGGAGGAATTCAGTAATGTACTAAGGCAGGGGTTAGCAACCTAAGGCCCATGGGCCAGAAGCAGCCCACGGAGGTCACTTAACCAGCCCCCAAGTCTCCCCCGAACTGAGTCACCCTCTCAGCGAGTCCCTGAGTGCTGCACTAAACCGGCGCAGTGCAGCATGGGGACTCTTTTCCGCGGCTCCCAAAATCACTTCTTTGCATGCCCAGATGCCAGAAATCGTGTCTGCGCATGTCCAAGGAGCTGGAAATTGCTTCTTCACAGGCACGATTTCCGGCATTTGGGCATGCGCAGAAGAAACTTCTGGCACCGCGGACATGAGCAGACGCGATTTTCGGCATTGTGCTGCGCCGGCCCAGCCCATGGAGGATCTCCACGGGAGTGATCCGGCCCATGCCCAGTAAGCCTTGCCGACCCCTGTACTAAGGCATCCATTCTGTCTAGTTAGGCATCTTTGCTTGCTAGTCAGAATGATCACCCTCTTCTGCCACACTTCATATTGCAAGGTTTATCCCAGCCCCTGCAGGCCAATTTTTGTGAGCACAGAGGGGTGGTGGTGGAATATTTGCTCAGGGCATCTGATGGTGGGGTTTGCTAGCTGAATCCCTCCCGCTTTATTTGCAATTCTCTATAATCACCTTGGGGCCTTGAATAAGACAATGAATGAATAAGGTTATTTAGAAGAATAACAATAGCATATGCAGCTGCTGTCTCTTGCTATGAACTTGCATGTTGCCTTCTAAAGTGGGAAGCAGGTGGCCAAGGAGGTTGAAGGAGGTGGATTTAGAGCAGTGTGGCCTTGGTTCGGTATACCTGAAGGAGCGTATCCACCTCCATCGTTCTGCCCGGACACTGAGGTCCAGCTCCGAGGGCCTTCTGGCAGTTCCCTCACTGCGAGAAGCCAAGTTACAGGGAACCAGATAGAGGGCCTTCTCCATAGTGGCACCCGCCCTGTGGAAGCCCTCCCACCAGATGTCAAAGAGAACAACAAATACCAGACTTTTAGAAGATATCTGAAGGCAGCCCTCTTTAGGGAAGCTTTTAATGCTTAATAGATTATTGTATTTTAATATTCTGTTGGAAGCCGCCCAGAGTGGCTGAGGAAACCCAGCCAGATGGGCGGGGTATAAATAATTATTATTCCACTGCACTGGGGTCAATGGAAGCCTGACATAGTGCATGTACTGAATGGAAGGCAAGAGTTGCAGGGCGCCAATTTTTTGCCTTGCAGAGGGTGCCAGTGAAATTTGAAAGTCCAAAGACTTTGAGGAGGACTGACCTGATGATGTACCACAGCAAGATCCACAGTTTTTTCTGCTCCTGTCCAGGCGAGCCAACAACCATGACCCCCCTTGCCACTGATTTGCCTGTCATAGCAACAGCTTATTATTAGATGTAAAAGGTTTGCCTTTTGTATTCTTTGGGGTACTACTGAATATCATGTTCCTTTTTAGGATCCCAGAGCTGCACCACCCCATTGATGGTTAGCAGTTTTTAAGCCTTTTGACAATGTCAATAAATAGGTAATGAAACGAAAGACTAAAGCTAGTCAATATTGATTGCTTTCTCTGTTCCAACTGTTTCTTTCTCTTTGAAAATGTACCCATGTGTACAGGAAGGAGTGATGCTTAGTTCTCATGTTCAGTGTGTGTGCCTTTGACGGTGCAGGTAGCCATGTTGGTCTGACGCACTACATATATATATATATATATACATACACACACACACATATATATATTAAATGTCCAGTAGCACCTTACAGACCAACTACGTTTGTTCTTGGCATAAGCTTTTGTGTCTATGCATGCACACGAAAGCTTATACCAAGAACAAACTTAGTTGGTCTCTAAGGTGCTACTGGACAATTTTTTAAAAAATATATATTTTAGGTAGAGGTTTAACAACAACCACAACCACAACCACAATCACCACCACCACCACAACAGTAATAATTTTATTTAAATCCTGCCTTTGCCCTAACAGGGACTCAAGATAGCATACAGATAAAAACAAGAATAACTAAAAACATAAAAAGAAACAATAATTAAAAACAAACAAACAAGTAAACATTGATGGAACAACTTCACTCTTAAACTGTAACATTTGATGCAATATATTAGTTAACTTGAGAAGAAAAGAGATATTCCAGCATATTGTGTGCACCATAATATTTAACCTTGAGTTGCATCACGTTGGCCAGTGACCCAAAGCAAGGTCGTGACTCATGTTTTCCCCAGTCAATCTAGCTCTCTGAAGAAAGGAAAGTTCATAGCCTCCATTCTGCCCTTTTTCCACTGCCTGCACAACACATCATTCTATATATTTAGTAAGATAAACAGTGGCCTACTTTAGGAGAACAAGAGGAAGGGATGTAAAAGACAGGATACATGACAGCAGAGAAGAAACCAAGGCAATTCTCAAAAGTGGCTACCAAGGTGCTTACTTTATGTTGCCCACAAGGATCGCCAAGCTGAGCCTACAATTCAGCAATTTCCATTATTGCTATTATTCATTTCATCACTATGCCTCTGTATATATTTTTTAAAAAACCTCAGTGTGGTTTAAAACACATTAGAGCATCAAATCCAGGATAAAACAATACTGAAGAAATTTAAATATACATTCAAAGCAAAATAGTTACCAGGAAACTATTACATTTCAAAAGAAAACATTACTAGAAGAAGCCAAATTAAAAAAATGCACATTTAAAACAGCACAATTGACAAGGTAATAAAATGCTATTGTAAGCACAGAACATGTCTGCTCCTGTTGTTACCAATCCTGTGGAGTCCGCAGTGTCATTAAGAAGTATGGCTTATTTACACATATTTACACCTGAGTTTTGAGGGAGGGAGTTCTTGCTGCTTCAGTCAGCTTGAGTCCAGAGCAGTCAGCTATGCTCGCCAGTCTCTAGGTTGCAGCCTGCGCTCATGAAGTTCTCACCTTTGTTCTCTTTCCTCTTCCCAGAACATATACAGGAATATACAGGGGGGAATCTGACACACAGGGATCTGGGGATACCTTGTAACAATATTACTTGTGGTGGAACCAGGTTGGATTGGAGATACAGGAAGTTTTGCCAGGGGACCAGATGGCTTTTACAGCAGCTCAAGCTTCACACCTAATGACCAGGTGTGTTAAATTCACACTTTCACCCCAAGGGTGTGCAGAGCTTCCAAAGGGATGGAGTTGAAATGAATCCTGCTTATGCCTTTGAAGTCTTGGAGCCCTTGGTATTTGAACAAATCCCACTTGGTGAATGATTATTTTTTCTTTATTAAATTGTATGCCACCTGATGTTCATGTTAGCTACTAAGCAAATTACTAGTATAAAAACTAAAGAAGCAAACATTAAAAGATAAACACCCATGATTAAAAGATGCAGAAAAGAAGCAGAAAAACACAAATCCACAGACCTTTTTTTTTAGAATAAACCTATATTGTTGGTCATCTCTAATGCCATCCCCACAGCTTAGCTTACAAGGAGAGACTTAAGGAGTCATCATCATTGAATCTGTTGTGGCTGGAAGACTCTGATCTTCTCTGCAATCAGCTTTGTCACTAAAAACTCTTTCCAACACCACCTTCAAGGGTTCTCTGGATCGATGCATCTTTTTCCTTCCAATTAAGAAGTAAATGAATGGATTAACACTGCTGTTGATAACAGCAGATACTACTCCAAATAATGCCGTTATTATATTAATATCAGCAAGTAAACATTGAACCGTTATTATGACACTGAGTGGAACACCAAAAATGAGGAAGAAAAGAAGAGCAAGCAAGAGCGCTGTGTAGAACTTTCCTCGTTGGCGTCGATGTAAACTGCAGCAGACCTTGATGAAAAGGATCACAGTACAGATGACCACAACAAGTGTGCAAAATACAGAGCTGATCATATGAACGACACAAATCACTATGTCAAAGTCTGCAGATTCAGTTAAAATGAAAAAGTTATAGATTCCAAACACCAGAATGGACATTGCCCATATTAATGCACAAACAATTTCAGACAGGTGTTCTAGACGGTGGCATCGATACCAGATTGGGAAGACAACAGAGAGACATTTCTCGGAACTGATGGCTGTTAGTAGATATAAGCTTATGGCATGTGTGGAAGTAAACAGTTCAAAACCCAGCCCAGAGGAAATTCCTCCTACATCCCAAAATCTAGCTGAAATTGAAAATGCTAAAGTTACAAGGACACAAGAATCAGCTACAGCCAAGTTCAAGATGTAGGTGGTGATGGGATTCTTCTTCACGATGAAGCAGAGAAACCAGATGACAATTGCATTCCCCACCAGGCCACATATGAATATTGTAAGCATGAAAAGAAAGAAAAAGAGCAGCAGGTAATATGTGAAGGAAGCAAGTTCAGATTCAGCATCTTCCTCTGGGAATGCTGAAGGGCTGTAGTCTCCAGAAAACCCATCAGTGGTTAAACCATGTGATGTGGCTGTGCTCTGCTCAGCCATAATGAAATATTTTCTTTTGGATTCTTCCTTCTTCCCCGTTCTCTGCACTATGTCTGCAAGCAGAAGGGATGAGGATCAGAAGGGATAATCACTAAAAGTAAGTACCTACACAATTCCAATATGGAAAGCTTCTAACTCACTTGTTATAGGTAGCCCAGGAAAGAAATTAGCACTACTCACCTCCTACAGCTTCAAGAAGAATAGAAATATAGAATTGTCGAATCTGAAGGGACCCTAACGATCATTCACTTCAACCCCCTGCAATGCAGGAAACCATTTTGGGCAAAATAAAGAAGAGCTTCATAGAAGAGGCACAAGACTCCCAATGCATATAAGAAATAACTTTCGTTACACAGTCTTCTCTGCCCCTTCCTCTATGATGGTATCTCAGCCAACTGTTGTAACGGTTTATCAGGCTAAAATTATCAGGGACCAGAGAGGAAGATAAATTGTACACAAGTTCTGAAATGGCATGACTTTAAACAAGCCTCCTCCAGTCTGATGTCATCCAGATTTTTTGCACTACAACTCCCACCATGTTGTGCTGGATGGGAGTGGGAGATGTAGTTCCAAACATCTGGAGGGCACCAGGTTGGGGAAAGTTCCTTAAACAAAGGAATGGAGTTGATCCTAAAGCAAGGGTGCAATGTTTTTAGATGCCAACTCAGATGTGTCTGGGGATAGCCTCTAGCAGCAAAATGTTTCAGGACCAGTCCTGAAAAGACAATCAGGTATCATTGTAACGATGTTCTTTTTTTCTTGACTACCCTTGTATTTAAGGTTGCCAGCAAATTTGGAAAAGATAAGAACAGATGGCCCTGTAGTTGTGTGAGCACAAGTTGTTCAATATGGACACATCAGGTAGTGAAGGTTTTCATAGCACAAAGATAATCTGTTATCCCCGAGGATGTGGTCAGGCTGCTTGGACGAGTGAAACCAACCACTTGTCTCCTTTATCTTTGCCCATCCTGGCTTATAAAAGCTAGCTGGGAAGGACTGGGTGATGGGCTTCGTGGGGTGTTGAATGCTTCCCTCCATGAGGGAGCCTTCCCAGACTCGCTGAAAGAGGCGGTTATTGAACCGCTTCTTAAAAAACCATCTTTAGATGTGGCCACGATAGCCAACTATTGCCCAGTCTCAAATCTTCCATTCTTGGGCAAGGTGATTGAGTGAGTGGTTGCTGAACAACTCCAGGCACGCCTGGAAGAAGCGGACCATTTGGATCCCTTCCAGTCAGGATTCAGGCCTCATCATGGGACTGAAACTGCCTTGGTCGCACTGGTTGATGATCTCCGGCGGGCTAGGGACAAAGGTGAGAGCTGTTTCAAAGTTCTGCTGGATCTCTCAGCGGCGTTTGATACCATCGACCATAACATCCTTCTGGACCGTCTTGAGGGGCTGGGAGCTGGGGGCACTGTTATACAGTGGTTCCGCTCCTTCCTCCTGGGCCTTGTTCAGAAAGTGGTGGTGGGGGATGAGTGTTCAGACCCCTGGGCCCTCACTTGTGGGGTGCCTCAGGGTTCTGTCCTCTCCCCCATGCTTTTCAACATCTACATGAAGCCGCTGGGAGAGATCATCAGGGGATTTGGGCTGGGTGTTCATCAGTATGCGGATGATACCCAGCTCTACCTCTCTTTCAAATCAGAACCAGTGAAGGCAGTGAAGGTCCTGTGTGAGTGCCTGGAGGCGGTTGGAGGTTGGATGGCAGGTAACAGATTGAGGTTGAATCCTGACAAGACAGAAGTACTGTTTTTGGGGGACAGGAGGCGGGCAGGTGTGGAGGATTCCCTGGTCTTGAATGGGGTAACTGTGCCCCTGAAGGACCAGGTGCGCAGCCTGGGAGTCATTTTGGACTCACAGCTGTCCATGGAGGCACAGGTCAAATCTGTATCCAGGGCAGCTGTTTACCAGCTCCATCTGGTACGCAGGCTGAGACCCTATCTGCCTGCGGACTGCCTCACCAGAGTGGTGCATGCTCTGGTTATCTCCCGCTTGGATTACTGCAATGCGCTCTACGTGGGGCTACCTTTGAAGGTGACTCGGAAACTACAACTAATCCAGAACGTGGCAGCTAGACTGGTGACTGGGAGCGGCCGCAGAGACCACATAACACCAGTCTTGAAAGACCTACATTGGCTCCCAGTACGTTTCCGAGCACAATTCCAAGTGTTGGTGCTGACCTTTAAAGCCCTAAACGGCCTTGGTCCAGTATATCTGAAGGAGTGTCTCCACCCCCATCGTTCTACCCGGACACTGAGGTCCAGCACTGAGGGCCTTCTGGCAGTTCCCTCACTGCGAGAAGCCAAATTACAGGGAACCAGGCAGAGGGCCTTCTCGGTAGTGGCGCCTTCCCTGTGGAACACCCTCCCACCAGATGTCAAAGAGAACAACAACTACCAGGCTTTTAGAAGACATCTGAAGGCAGCCCTGTTTCGGGAAGCTTTTAATGTTTGATGTATTATAGAATTTTAATATTCTTTTGGAAGCCGCCCAGAGTGGCTGGGGAAGCCCAGCCAGATGGGCGGGGTATAAATAATAAATTATTATTATTATTATTATTATTATTATTATTATTATTATTATTATGGATTACAGCCAAAGGATACAGTGGAACTTCTTCTCCTGCAGTGGAGTCTGCAGAATCTTTAAGAACTGTGTTTTCTTTACTCATATTTACACCTGAGCTTAGTTGGAGGGAGTGCAGAACCTCCCTCCCCAAGAGTGTCTCTTGCTGCTTCTCTCATAGCTTCAGTCAGCTGGAGTCCAGAGCAGTCAGCTATGCTAGCCATTCTCTAGGTTGCAGCCTGCGCTCATGAAGTTCTCACCTTTGTTCTCTTTCCTCTTCCCAGAACATATCCAGGAATATATAGGAGGGAATCTGACACACAGGGATCTGGGGATACCTTGTAACAATATTACTTGTGGTGGAACCAGGTTGGATTGGAGATACAGGAAGTTTTGCCAGGGGACCAGATGGCTTTTACAGCAGCTCAAGCTTCACACGTAATGACCAGGTGTGTTAAATTCACACTTTCACAACAAGGGTGTGCAGAGCTTCCAAAGGGATGGAGTTGAAACGAATCCAGCTTATGCCTTTGAAGTCTTGGAGCCCTTGGTATTTGAACAAATCCCACTTGGTGAATGATTACTTTTTCTTTATTAAATTGTATGCCACCTGATGTTCATGTTAGCTACTAAGCAAATTACTAGTATAAAAACTAAAGAAGCAAACATTAAAAAATAAACACCCATGATTAAAAGATGAAGAAAAGAAGCAGAAAAACACAAATCCACAGACTTTTTTTTAGAATAAACCTATGTTCTTGGTCATCTCTAATGCCATCCCCACAGCTTAGTTTACAAGGAGAGACTTAAGGAGTCATCATCATTGAATCTGTTGTGGCTGGAAGACTCCGATCTTCTCTGCAATCAGCTTTGTCACTAAAAACTCTTTCCAGCACCACCTTCAAGGGTTCTCTGGATCGATGCGTCTTTTCCCTTCCAATTAAGAAGTAAATGAATGGATTAACACTGCTGTTGATAACAGCAGATACTACTCCAAATAATGCCATTATTATATTAATATCAGGAAGAAGATATTGAACAGTTATTATGACACTGAGTGGAACACCAAAAATGAGGAAGAAAAGAAGAGCAAGCAAGAGTGCTGTGTAGAACTTTCCTCGTTGGCGTCGATGTAAACTGCAGCAGAACTTGATGAAAAGGATCACAGTACAGATCACCACTACAAGTGTGCAAAATACAGAGTTGATAGTATGAATGACACAAATCATTATGTCAACGTCTGCATTTTCAGTTGAAATGAAAAAGTGATAGATTCCAAAGACCAGAATGGACATTACCCATATAAATGCACAAACAATTTCAGACAGGTGTTCTAGACGGTGGCATCGATACCAGATTGGGAAGACAACAGAGAGACATTTCTCGGCACTGATGGCTGTCAGTAGATATAAGCTAATGACATGTGTGGAAATAAACAGTTCAATACAAAGCCCAAAGGAAACTCCTCCTATATCCCAAAAGCTAGCTGAAATTGCAAGTGCTAAAGTTACAAGGACACAAGAATCAGCTACAGCCAAGTTCAAGATGTAGGTGGTGATGGGATTCTTCTTCATGATGAAGCAGAGAAACCAGATGACAATTGCATTCCCCACCAGGCCACATATGAATATTGCAAGGGTAATAATGAAAAGACAGGCAAAGAGAAACAGGTAATGTGTGAAGGAAGCAAGTTCAGATTCATCATCTTCCTCTGGGAATGCTGAAGGGCTGTAGTCTCCAGAAAACCCATCAATGGTTAAACCAAGTGATGCTGCTGTGCTCTGCTCAGCCATAATGAAATCTTTTCTTTTGGGTTCTTCCTTCTTCCCTGTTCTCTGCACTATGTCTGCAAGCAGAAGGGATGAGGATCAGAAGGGATAACCACTAAAAGCAAGTGCCTACACAATTCCAGTATGGAAAGCTTCTAACTCACTTGTTATAGGTAGCCCAGGAAAGAAATTAGCACTACTCACCTGCTACAGCTTCAAGAAGAAGAACAGAAATATAGAATTGTCGAATCTGAAGGGATCATTCACTCCAACCCCCTACAATGCAGGAAAACATTTTGGGCAAAATAAAGAAGAGCTTCATAGAAGAGGCACAAGACTCCCAATGCATATAAGAAATAACTTTCGTTACACAGTCTTCTCTGCCCCTTCCTCTATGATGGTATCTCAGCCAACTGTTGTAACGGTTTATCAGGCTAAAATTATCAGGGTCGAGAGAGGAAGATAAATTGTACGCAAGTTCTGAGATGGCATGACTTCAAACAAGCCTCCAAAAGTCTGATGTCATCCAGATTTTTTGGACTACAACTCCCACCATGTTGTGCTGGATGGGAGTGGGAGATGTAGTTCCAAACATCTGGAGGGCACCAGGTTGGGGAAAGTTCCTTAAACAAAGGAATGGAGTTGATCCTAAAGCAAGGGTGCAATGTTCTTAGATGGCAACTCAGATGTGTCTGAGGACAGCCTCTAGCAGCAAAATGTCTCAGCACCAATCCTGAAAAGGCCTTCAGGTATCATTGTAACGATGTTCTTTTTTTCTTGACTACCCTTGTATTTAAGGTTGCCAGCAAATTTGGAAAAGATTAGAACAGATGGCCCTGTAGTTGTGTGAGCACAAGTTGTTCAATGTGGACACATCAACTAGTTTAAGTTTTCATAGCACAAAGATAATGGATTACAGCCAAAGGATGCAGTGGAACATCTTCTGCAGTGGAGTCTGCAGAGTCTTTAAGGAATGTGGTTTCTTTACTCATATTTACACCTGAGCTTAGTTGGAGGGAGTGCAGAACCTCCCTCCCCAAGAGTGTCTCTTGCTGCTTCTCTCATAGCTTCAGTCAGCTGGAGTCCAGAGCAGTCAGCTATGCTCGCCAGTCTCTAGGTTGCAGCGTGCACTCATGTAGTTCTCACCTTTGTTCTTTTTCCTCTTCCCAGAACATATCCAGGAATATATAGGAGGGAATCTGACACACAGGGATCTGGGGATACCTTGTTCCCCCACAAACCTGTAACAATATTATTTGTGGTGAAACCAGGTTGGATTGGAGATACAGGAGGTTCTGCCAGGAGACCAGATGGCTTTTACAGCAGTTCAAGCTTCACACGTAATGACCAGGTGTGTTAAATTCATTTTCACCCCAAGGGTGTGCAGAGCTTCCAAAGGGATGGAGTTGAAATGAATCCTGCTTATGTCTTTGAAGCCTTGGAGCCTTTGGTATTTGAACAAATCCCACTTGGTGAATGATTAATTTTTCTTTATTAATTTTTATGCCATCTGATGTTCATGTTGGCTACTAAGCAAATTACAAGTACAAAAACTAAAGAAGCAAACATTAAGAGATAAACACCCATGATTATAAGTTGCAGAAAAGAAGCAGAAAAACACGAATCTACAGACCTTTTTTTAAAGAATAAACCTATATTGTTGGTCATCTCTAATGCCATCCCCACAGCTTAGCTTACAAGGAGAGACTTAAGGAGTCATCATCATTGAATCTGTTGCGGCTGGAAGACTCTGATCTTCTCTGCAATCAGCTTTGTCACTAAAAACTCTTTCCAGCACCACCTTCAAGGGTTCCCTGGATCGATGCGTCTTTTTCCTTCCAATTAAGAAGTAAATGAATGGATTAACACTGCTGTTGATAACAGCAGATACTACTCCAAATAATGCTGTTATTATATTAATATCAGCAAGTAAACATTGAACAGTTATTATGACACTGAGTGGAACACCAAAAATGAGGAAGAAAAGAAGAGCAAGCAAGAGCGCTGTGTAGAACTTTCCTCGTTGGCATCGATGTAAACTGCAGCAGACCTTGATGAAAAGGATCACAGTACAGATCACCACAACAAGTGTGCAAAATACAGAGTTGATAGTATGAATGACACAAATCATTATGTCAAAGTCTGCATTTTCAGTTGAAATGACAAAGTGGTAGATTCCAAAGACCAGAATGGACATTACCCATATAAATGCACAAACAATTTCAGACAGGTGTTCTAGACGGTGGCAGCGATACCAGATTGGGAAGACAACAGAGAGACATTTCTCGGCACTGATGGCTGTCAGTAGATATAAGCTAATGACATGTATGGAAATAAACAGTTCAATACAAAGCCCAAAGGAAATTCCTCCTACATCCCCAAAGTTAGCTGAAATTGCAAGTGCTAAAGTTACAAGGACACAAGAATCAGCTAGAGCCAAGTTCAAGATGTAGGTGGTGATGGGATTCTTCTTCACGATGAAGCAGAGAAACCAGATGACAATTGCATTCCCCACCAGGCCACATATGAATATTGCAAGGGTAATAATGAAAAGACAGGCAAAGAGAAACAGGTAATGTGTGAAGGAAGCAAGTTCAGATTCATCATCTTCCTCTGGGAATGCTGAAGGGCTGTAGTCTCCAGAAAACCCATCAATGGTTAAACCAAGTGATGCTGCTGTGCTCTGCTCAGCCATAATGAAATCTTTTCCTTTGGATTCTTCCTTCTTCCCCGTTCTCTGCACAATGTCTGCAAGCAGAAGGGACGAGGATCAGAAGGGATAATCACTAAAAGTAAGTGCCTACACAATTCCAATATGGAAAGCTTCTAACTCATTTTATATAGGAGCCCAGGAAAGAAATTAGCACTACTCACCTGCTACAGCTTCAAGAAGAAGAACAGAAATATAGAATTGTCGAATCTGAAGGGATCATTCACTCCAACCCCGTGCAATGCAGGAAAACATTTTGGGCAAAATAAAGAAGAGCTTCATATAAGAGGCACAATGCATATAAGAAATAACTCTGGTTACACAGTCTTCTCTGCCCCTTCCTCTATGATGGTATCTCAGCCAACTGTTGTAACGGTTTATCAGGCTAAAGTTATCAGGGTCGAGAGAGGAAGATAAATTGTACACAAGTTCTGAGATCTCATGACTTTAAACAAGCCTCCTCCAGTCTGATGTCATCCAGATTTTTTGGACTACAACTCCCACCATGTTGTGCTGGATGGGAGTTGGAGATGTAGTTCCAAACATCTGGAGGGCACCAGGGTGGGGAAAGTTGCTTAAACAAAGGAATGGAGTTGATCCTAAAGCAAGGGTGCAATGTGTCTGAGGACAGCCTCTAGCAGCAAAATGTCTCAGGACCAATCCTGAAAAGGCCTTCAGGTATCATTGTAATGATGTTCTTTTTTTCTTGACTACCCTTGTATTTAAGGTTGCCAGCAAATTTGGAAAAGATTAGAACAGATGGCCCTGTAGTTGTGTGAGCACAAGTTGTTCAATGTGGACACATCAACTAGTTTACGTTTTCATAGCACAAAGATAATGGATTACAGCCAAAGGATACTGTGGAACATCTTCTGCAGTGGAGTCTGCAGAGTCTTTAAGGAATGTGGTTTCTTTACTCATATTTACACCTGAGCTTAGTTGGAGGGAGTGCAGAACCTCCCTCCCCAAGAGTGTCTCTTGCTGCTTCTCTCATAGCTTCAGTCAGCTGGAGTCCAGAGCAGTCAGCTATGCTCGCCAGTCTCTAGGTTGCAGCGTGCACTCATGTAGTTCTCACCTTTGTTCTTTTTCCTCTTCCCAGAACATATCCAGGAATATATAGGAGGGAATCTGACACACAGGGATCTGGGGATACCTTGTTCCCCCACAAACCTGTAACAATATTATTTGTGGTGAAACCAGGTTGGATTGGAGATACAGGAGGTTCTGCCAGGAGACCAGATGGCTTTTACAGCAGTTCAAGCTTCACACGTAATGACCAGGTGTGTTAAATTCATTTTCACCCCAAGGGTGTGCAGAGCTTCCAAAGGGATGGAGTTGAAATGAATCCTGCTTATGTCTTTGAAGCCTTGGAGCCTTTGGTATTTGAACAAATCCCACTTGGTGAATGATTAATTTTTCTTTATTAATTTTTATGCCATCTGATGTTCATGTTGGCTACTAAGCAAATTACAAGTATAAAAACAAAAGAAGCAAACATTAAAAATAAACACCCATGATTATAAGTTGTAGAAAAGAAGCAGAAAAATACAAATCTACAGACCTTTTTTAAAGAATAAACCTATATTGTTGGTTATCTCTAATGCCATCCCCACAGCTTAGCTTACAAGGAGAGATTTAAGGAGTCATCATCATTGAATCTGTTGTGGCTGGAAGACTCTGATCTTCTCTGCAATCAGCTTTGTCACTAAAAACTCTTTCCAGCACCACCTTCAAGGGTTCTCTGGGTCGATGCGTCGTTTTCCTTCCAATTAAGAAGTAAATGAATGGATTAACACTGCTGTTGATAACAGCAGATACTACTCCAAATAATGCCGTTATTATATTAATATCAGCAAGAAGATATTGAAGAGTTATTATGACACTGAGTGGAACACCAAAAATGAGGAAGAAAAGAAGAGCAAGCAAGAGAGCTGTGTAGAACTTTCCTCGTTGGCGTCGATGTAAACTGCAGCAGACCTTGATTGAAAAGGATCACAGTACAGATCACCACAACAAGTGTGCAAAATACAGAGTTGATCATATGAACGACACAAATCACTATGTCAAAGTCTGCAGATTCAGTTGAAATTAAAAAGTGATAGATTCCAAAGACCAGAATGGACATTACCCATATAAATGCACAAACAATTTCAGACAGGTGTTCTAGACGGTGGCATCGATACCAGATTGGGAAGACAACAGAGAGACATTTCTCGACACTGATGGCTGTCAGAAGATATAAGCTAATGGCATGTGTGGAAATAAACAGTTCAATACTCAGCCCAGAGGAAATTCCTCCTACATCCCAAAAGCTAGCTGAAATTGCAAGTGCTAAAGTTACAAGGACACAAGAATCAGCTAGAGCCAAGTTCAAGATGTAGGTGGTGATGGGATTCTTCTTCACGATGAAGCAGAGAAACCAGATGACAATTGCATTCCCCACCAGGCCACATATGAATATTGCAAGGGTAATAATGAAAAGACAGGCAAAGAGAAACAGGTAATGTGTGAAGGAAGAAAGTTCAGATTCATCATCTTCCTCTGGGAATGCTGAAGGGCTGTAGTCTCCAGAAAACCCATCAATGGTTAAACCAAGTGATGTTGCTGTGCTCTGCTCAGCCATAATGAAATCTTTTCTTTTGGATTCTTCCTTCTTCCCTGTTCTCTGCACTATGTCTGTAAGCAGAAGGGATGAGGATCAGAAGGGATAATCACTAAAAGTAAGTGCCTACACAATTCCAGTATGGAAAGCTTCTAACTCACTTGTTATAGGTAGCCCAGGAAAGAAATTAGCACTACTCACCTGCTACAGCTTCAAGAAGAAGAACAGAAATATAGAATTGTCGAATCTGAAGGGATCATTCACTCCAACCCCCTACAATGCAGGAAAACATTTTGGGCAAAATAAAGAAGAGCTTCATATAAGAGGCACAAGACTCCCAATGCATATAAGAAATAACTCTGGTTACACAGTCTTCTCTGCCCCTTCCTCTATGATGGTATCTCAGCCAACTGTTGTAACGGTTTATCAGGCTAAAATTATCAGGGACCAGAGAGGAAGATAAATTGAACACAAGTTCTGAAATGACATGACTTCAAACAAGCCTCCTCCAGTCTGATGTCATCCAGATTTTTTGGACTACAACTCCCACCATGTTGTGCTGTATGGGAGTGGGAGATGTAGTTCCAAACATCTGGAGGGCACCAGGTTGGGGAAAGTTGCCTTAAACAAAGGAATGGAGTTGATCCTAAAGCAAGGATGCAATGTTCTCAGATGCCAACTCAGATGTTTCTGGGGATAGCCTCTAGCAGCAAAATGTCTCAGGACCAGTCCTGAAAAGGCCTTCAGGTATCATTGTAATGAATTACAAATTGTAATGAAATTCCAGCAATTTCGTGAAGACCATGATGTAGAGAAGCCACTTTCCCCTTATGTGCAAGGGAGGAGGGAGGAGGAAACAATGGAGAACATGGTACTATGACAATACTTGTGGTTATTTACCAATCCTCCACAGCACCAGCATTTTTATGTGCATGTTTGGAGCAGTGGTGGACTTTGGGGTCTAAAATTTCCATGGCCCCCTGTGCAATTCTCAAAACTTTTTGCTGCCTCTGCCTCTCATCTTCTGTTCCAAGTCATCCTTGCCCCAGTGTGGTGTAGTGCTTAAGAGTGCTAGACTCGTAATCTGGTGAACCGTGTTCGCTTCCCCGCTCCTCCACATGCAGCTGCTGGGTGACCTTGGGCTAGTCACGCTTCTCTGAAGTCTCTCAGCCTCACTCACCTCACAGAGTGTTTGTTGTGGGGGAGGAAGGGAAAGGAGAATGTTAGCCACTTTGAGACTCCTTTGGGTAGTGATAAAGCGGGATATCAATTCCAAACTCCTCCTCCTCCTCCTCCTCTTCTTCTTCTTCCAGTGCCCTCTTGGCTTGGTGCCCAGTGCTGGCAAACTGGTTGTGCTTTCCTAAATCCACTTCTGTTTCCATTGGTGAAGACTGGAATTGCCATCTGGTTTCTGAACATATGCTTTGTGCATCTGCACCAAGAAAAGTACTCCCTTGATCGCCTAACTTGCTGAACTTGCCTGTAGTTGACTTCAACTTCTTCCCTTTTGTGCTTCTGTCACTCCCTTTTTTTGGCACCAAGCACTCTCAAAAATGACCAACAAGATCATTGTCACTAAAGAGGCCAGTAATTTACCTCCTTTGGTTTGCTTATACTGGACAGCCCAGTGTGGCTTGCTTTCCAATCTAGGATTGTTTTGCCCAGTCAGAATACATTTCTGCTTTGCCTTCATGGCTGCTCTGGCCCACTTCTGGCTTGTTGCCTGGAAGAGCAAAGCTATTTTGCCATCTTTTGTCATATGAATGTTTTCTCCACAATTATCAGGATAATCTGTACCAAGAATGCCCTTATCATCGCTCTTCTTGTCTCTACATTGATTAGGTTCACCAAGATGTGCTGCAGCTCACAAGATCAGCCAATAATGTTTTATGTGACCGTTTCTGCTCACTCTCACTTCCTTCATTTCCTTTGCTATTCCATTTAGAATATTGTACTTCATAGACTGTTTAGGTTATACATCCATTATTCTTCTTATGTTGCTTTGATTTCTCCTTACTGCTTTCAGAAACACCATTCATCCTTTGCTTTGCTTTGTCATTGAGGGAAACGGGAAACGTGGAATTGAAAGAATTTGAGATATGTGTTCCTGGCACATAATAAAGCACTAAGAAGCTTCTGGAGAGCAATGATTTCCAAATAAGGATGAACAACGTCAGCCTGTTTCTGTTCTGTGTCAGTTTCATAAGATAGCTCAGTCCTGACTCTGTTTCTGTCCCCTTAAAAACAAGAGAAACAAACATTTCACATTTAAATTGTCTGCACTTTTGTACTCAGTTTCCCTAAAATACACGTTGTGTACAGATTTCCTGCCTAAAATAAGCATTGCCTTATGTTTTCCTATTCATTTCAACTAAAAATGCTTATAAATGCATGCTTTCTCATAGAATATATTTTTGTGTACATTATGTAATGTGTTTTGAACTATACCTGCACTGCAAAATTCAGAGAAGTGCATGATTTTTTCTCCTCTGTTGCTTTGATGGGAGTGTTTCCCCCCTTGCTAGGGGCACCCCTTGCAAAGGTGAAAAGCATGGTGCTACCTGGCATCTATGATATTGTGTGTGTGTGTGTGTGTGTGTGTGTGTGTGTGTGTGAGTCTCATGTGGGACCAATGGGAGTAGGGCAGGCATAGCCCTATTTAGGCTAATGGCTTCATCAATTAAATGCAGCAGCCTGCCCACCCTCCTCATATGGTAGTATTGGATTAGCTGGTTGCCCATTGGGAACGTGAATAGGAATAACTTTTAGTGTTTCATGATTGGCTGTGGGCGTACCTTTCATCTGTTACTCCATGCATCTACCAGCATATTCTTCTGCTGTTGTATCATCCTTGTTCTGGGTTTTGTCTGACCTACTTTCTGGAATGATGCTTCTACTTCATCAGGGTCCAATGATCATTAGCATTGTGAACTTTCTGGGTCCCCCCTCCCTTTATGTTTGGCTCCATGCTGACCCCCTTCATCAAGATCTGCTGTAGCTCACACAGATGTCAGCCACCAAAGGTGCACACAGATTTCTTGACCGCTCTCCTCTTCTTCATTATATTTGCCATTCAACAGCATCATTGACCCAAGAATATATTACTTGGTTGGGAGAGACAATCCAGGGAGCTCTTGAAGGATGTGCTTGGAAGGATGAAGCAGGTGCTATTGAAGGGAACCAGCTGGATGTTGCAGAAATGGTGGTGAAGCCCAGGCAAATACAGTCACAAATTCTACCTAATGAACTGACTAAGGGAGAGGCCAATGATTAGACAATGACATCTGATGGCTCTGTCCGTTTGTGGGTAGGCATGTGATAAGCTAATCAGTGAACACATGTGGAGCTACTCTATTCAAGATAATACTATAACAGTTGATGGCAAGTATTTGATATGGTCTTTTTGTGTTTTGTTTCAGTGAGCATGCCTTATGGTCAGAAAGCTGATCAGAGGATGGTGTTGAGGTTCCTTTAATTGCAATAATAATAATAATTAATAATAATAATTTATTTATACCCTGCCCATCTGGTGCCACATGCTTCCCTTATCTTTCACCTGCAGGACTTGTGATTAGTGTCTGAAGAACGCTGACCTGGCAACCAGCCAAGTAGGTCACTGTGACCAGGTAACTGACCAAGGATGTGGTCATTCTTAGGTCTGTTAAGAGGGGTTTGTACGTTGCCTGCTTGCTTCGCAAATTAATACTGAATTCTGTGCTGTATGTATGCTGTGAGTTGTACTTGCTTTGCATTTGAAGCCTGTTACCTTCTACTAGGGATCCAGGGGGAAGTCTATATATAGTGAAATTGCCTTAATGTTTTGGAGCTGTCAGTAAAGGACTGAACTGACTGAAGAGTTGGGGTCTGACTGAATGTCTGCCAGCACAAAACTGCACTGCTACAAACCTACATGCGTGGGGAGCTGAACATGTTTGGCAAAAAAAGCCAACAGATGAATGTTTAGGGAGTTGATAGCTTGTACAGTGCCTCCTCTCTTCCAACTAATGCCTATTAAGCTAATGTGAAGTCATTTTGCATATGTAAACTATATGCCTGGACAGAGAAAATTATGAGGTCCTTGCCAGAAATGAGAAGAAGTTGGCATATTCTGGGACATTACTGTGATTTGAACTTCAGTGTGTGTCTTTTCCCAATAAAAAGGTGAACACAGCAATTTCTCACATGAACAGACTCTCCAGGTTAGAGAAAAACTCTCCACTGGAGTAACTATAACCTGCAATTCTAAGCACACTCGTAAAGGAGTCTCCCCATGAAATGTGACTAGGATTGCATTGCATGAGAGAACTGTGACAAATATCCCTACTTCTGCTGGTTCCAGTGACATTAGAACAGGCCCTGCAGTATACCTGATTTTCCCTACTCCAATTGAACTTGTTGAAATGGGAATAAAAGGTATTT